GTAAGGAGGTGGGCTGGGGTCTCCAGCTCTGAGAGTTTATGTGCTCTCCCCCAGATCTTTGTTTTCACTGATGGGGAGGTGGGCAACACACAGGAAGTCATTGCTGAAGTCCAGCGTCATCACAGGTCCCACAGGTAACAGCACCCATAGCCCACCCCAACCTAGCCAGCCCCCTGCTGCCTGCCCCCTCACCCCTGGTTCTGCCCCACTTCTGTCATGGATTTGTGGGGTTGCCTGAGTCATTGGTCCTCATCCTTGCTTTCCCTGGGGACTCCCCCATTTATCTGACAGGCCTTGGGTGTAGCTTTCAACAAAGCTGTTGTTCCCCCGGGTTTCCTCTTGAGCAGTGTACACACTTTGCCAGGGTGTTGGTTGTGCTGCTGCTGTCGCCAGTGTGACGTACACAACGAATTACCAAAGCCTGGTTCGCTGACAAGAGTTCAGCTGGGTTTATTATCTACTCGGCTCTGACTCGCTAACCCACCTGTCCAAAGCACGATGAGTTGTTAGCCCTGGATGCCATTGGTAAGTCCCAAAGATTTCCAGGCCCCCTCTTATTTGTGGATCCAAACAATTCTGCACACATCAGACATTCGCATAACCAACATCAACCCCTCTACCAAATCACCCAAATCCTCAGACTTCCTGTCGTTATCGGGAGTTCTGGACGATCTCGTGCCACTCTTATTAGTCAGCCTGATCAGTCACCTTTGGTTAGAGGTTTGTAAAGCCTCACTTCAAATACACCTTTGCAGTGTACAGCTCACAGCTTATTCACAAGCTCTGGTGGGTATGGAGCTATCCTTCAGTCTGGCCTGCTTTGGTCGCCTCAGCAAAGCTTTATTTGAGTTCTATATTCATAGACCAGTGCTTATATTAATCAATAGTCTAGGGAGGCCTACAAAACCAAGCCTGAAAAGTGCCCCTTTCTGGGCCATTGGCTTCAGCCCCCTGGTGCCCCAGCAGGTCCAGATAGATGCCTTTGGACCCCAGGAGCTCTGTCTTCGAGCAATGAACTTGTCCCTAGGGAGCTTGCCAGAGCATTGGACTGCTTTTCAAGGGCCCCCCAGGGCCTGGTGGATGTGACCTAGCCAAAATTACACGCCCCAAGAAACAGAGCATGGAACGGCCTGACAGTACATTTGTTTTGACCCGTGAACCCCATCCAGTTGCCCTCTGACTGGGAAGTTGACCCGCTTCCCAGCCAGGTGGCAGCAAGAAGAGCAAGCAGAAAATGCAGTCCTGCAAGATGTTACAAACCTTTCCAACTTGTTATCCATACCTGCCCTCACAACTGTCCTGTTCTCCTCCCTTGCGGCTCTACTTTTGCCCCCCCGCAACCCTGTACTCTGCCCCCTGTTCACCACAGGTGCTTTTCATTTGGCATTGGACAAGGGGCTTCCACAGCTCTGATCAAAGGCATCGCCGAGGCAGGCGGGGGCTTCGCTGAGTTCATCATTGGCCAGGACCGCATGGCCGCCAAGGTACAGACCCCAAGAGGCTAGGTCTCAATTTGACTCCCCTCCCGGAGTCAGGGATAGTACTCAGGAGTCCGGGTTCCTACCTCCTTGCCCTGACACACTGTGCCCCACTTTCTTCAAAGGGCTGGGGAGAAAGCCCCCCAGAGCCCTCTTCCCATTCCCTCTGCAGTAACCCACAAGACCTTATTCCCCTGGCAGAAATGGGGAGAGGACCCAGGTCCCCTGCCCTGCCCCCCTTCCATGTGACACTACACTGTCCCCTGCCAGGTACTACGGTCTCTGAAGTGGGCCCTACAGCCAGCAGTTACCGGGATCTCTCTGAGCTGGGAGCTGCCCCCTGGGATGGAGGCAGTACCATTGAGGCCAGACCCAAAGGTGATCTTCCAGGGACAGCGCCTCCTCGTCTATTCCCAGCTCCGTGGACAGCCAAAGGTGAGAGCAAGACATCCCCCCACTTCCTGAGAGACCCCTGCTCCAGGGTTCGGACTAAGCTGGGCCTGTCTTCCAGCTGGCAGGATCACCCCAGCCCCTGATAATGGCTGACGATGGCTCCTATCCCCATCCCTCCGGTCTGCTGCTCATTCCCCTGAATGATTTCCACGAGGGTGCCTAAGCAATTCTTGGGTCCCTAACGTGGGGAACTGGCTATAGGCAAATCCATAGCTGATAGAAGTCAGCTGCTGCTCAGGTGGAGACTGTGGTCAGCTGCACAGCTGGTATAATTTCCCTTCACAACCCTTATTCTTTATCTTGAGGCTAGCAGGGGCAGGGCTCCCTCTTTCTTGCTTCCCAGCTCTGACCCTTTCTCCACAGGCCCCAGAGTCCTCTGTGGGAAGTGTCACGCTGCAGTATACCATTAAAGATGAGACCTTCAAGGACACGGTGCAGTTTCCCCTGCAGCCGCAGGAAGGAGACAGGTGAGGCACGGCCCCTCCAGCCCCTTCTTCTCCATCTAGTGCTCCACCAGCTCCCCCGCCTCCACCTACCAAACTGCTGGGCACAAGGTTTCACACCGGTTCAGAGACAGAACCTGGGAGTCCAGACTCCCAACCCTTGCACTTGACCCCAAACAGGGGGGCAAGCTTCTGAATCGGCCTGGGTACCCCTTACACTTAGAAGATGAAATCTGAGGAGGCAAATTTACTGGCTGTGTAGGTGCAACGGTAACTACCCAGATGGCATCTCATCAGCAGACCCCATTGCCCTGGGCTAGCGGAGCCAGCTTGCTCACTGGCCCGTTTGCGAGGGCAGCTGTTACCTGGGACCGGATCTCCCACATCAGAACATGGGCATTGTCTCCCCAAGGGCTTCTTACTTCACCTCGGGCCACATCTGTGACAGTTCATCAGCCCAGTGTAGAGAGAAGATGTCCCCAGCTGGTACAGCCACGCAGCCTTGGGCTAGGAAGCCCAGTTGATGAGCCAGCAAGTAGGGCCATTAGCTGTCACGGTTCCCTAAACTGCTGGGGTGCAAGCACAGTGATGTGAGGGCGCTCCCAGGAGCTTGGTCTCTGCCACTCGAGACGTCTGGTACAGAAAGGGCAGATATGACCTTAAATGCTGTGAAGGTGTCTCCCAGCAGTGCTAATCCAACCCTCCTGGAGGTGGACCGGGGCTTGGGAGCCCCCAGTCCAGTGCACCGCAGGCCAGAAGGAGAAAGGCAGCGAGATCTCCCCACCTCCAATTCTGCATCCTGGTAGTACTGGGGAAGAGCAGGCCAGGGTCAGCTCCTCCACGGCTGTGGGTTCTTCAGCGAGTCTTGTGTGTCCCCCAGCCCTCACTTCTGTGAGTGGGGGCCTGGGGGCCCAGGGTGCTCTCAGGCCTCACAATGAGACGGTGGGGTTTGGTGCCCTTGATCTGGTGCTCACAGGGGAAAGAGCAGCTCAAACATTTCCTGGTGGAGCTTTGTCTTGTCCCAGGACCTGTTTGCTGAACTCAGAGAGGCTCCCTCGGGCCTGGATGGGTCTTCCCCAGAGCAGGGACCCAGGAGCTGCAGTCGGGGTCAGGGCAACTGAGTTTCCCAGCTGGTATTAAGAGGGACTAACTCAATAAGATATACGGAGAGCACAAGTCTGCCAGGCCACCCCCAGTGAGCCTCCCTGCAGTGCCCCTGTGTCTCCGGTGGATGGCATCCGCGGGCAACAAGTCTCAGGCTCCTTTTCTTCCCAGAGGCGGTCTGCGTTGGATCCTTCCCAAGACCGTGCCTTCCTGGTAGCCCATGGGAGCCTTTGTAGGTCAGCCTTTCTGAGGCTCTCCTCTGAAAAGCCTGCTGTTTAGGAAAGGGCGTTCATATTTCCATGCTAGGCAGCGGTTGGACATTGACTGTCGTTCTCCCCCTCGTCTGGGAGATGGAAATCTCACCTGATGTTTGAGATCCAGGCTGTTGTTCATTTCCTGTTCTCACTGCCCACCATGGTTCCTCTGCTTTGTGTGTGGCAGGTTAGCGTGCTATGCCTTGTAGTTGTGCGATAGCTCTAGTAATAGGTTGGACAGTGGATTTGTACAGGTTGGTTTAGACAGGGCTGATCCTGCCTCAGGCAGGGGGTTGGACTGAGCTGGGGATAGGATCCAAGACTCCTGACTTCCCTGCCTGCAGCAAAGCAGAACCCCAGTGGCCAGGGCTCAGCCTCTGTCTCTGTCTCTCTCATTCTCCCTGGCACAGGTTGCCCATTCACCGCCTGGCAGCCAAGGCCCTGCTGCAGGAGCTGGAGCCAGGGGTATCATCTGGCTCAGAGGAGAGCCGTCACCGGGCACTAGAAGCAAGTTTGAGCTCAGGAGTGGTGTGCTCCCTCACAGCCTACGTTGGGGTTGACACCAAACAGGGGCAGCCGGTGCAGGGACCCCTGAGAAGACGCCCCATCCCACTGGCAGGTAACTGGGAGAAGCGCAGGGGATCCCAGGGCTTGAGGGAGGGCTAGTCCCAGTGCAATGGGAAACCTCAGCGCCATAGACTGGATCCTGGTGTGGAGAAGGGGCCAAACCCAGCATGGGAATAGAGGACTTGATGATGCTCATTAAATGTCCCTGTGTCTGCCATACTTTTACCAGAGCTCCTGGGCTGCACCTGGGGTCAGCCTACCCCACTCCTATCCCCCCGTCCCAGGGGGAGGGGATGTCCTGATTGCTGCAGCCCAATTGCCTCTCTGTAGATGGGCTGAGAGCAGGGGGCAGTGGCAGCAAGAAATGGAGGGAAGTCAATGTGAGCCCAGTTCCCAGCCTGCCCTAGTCCAAATGAGAAAAGGTGTCTGTGTTCTCTGTAGATGGGCTGAGAGCAGGGGGCAGTGGCAGCAAGAAATGGAGGGAAGTCAATGTGAGCCCAGTTCCCAGCCTGCCCTAGTCCAAATGAGAAAAGGTGTCTGTGTTTCCCCCAGGCTGAGAGGAGCAGGCCCAGACAGACACAGGGCTGGCTGAGGCAGGCAGCACGGTCATGAGCTCCCCAGTCCATCTGGGCACAGGAAGGAACTGGGCACAGGCCTGGATAGATGTCCTTACCCCCAGAGAAGGGCCCAGCCTGCCCTCGAGATCCCAAGGGCCTGATGGCACCTTGTCCCTGGGGAAAAGCCTGCAAGTCAGGCAGGCCTGACCCTTTCTTCCTCAAAGGGAAGGGAAATGCTCCACACTTGGATAGCCTCTGTCCATCTGGCTCCACCCCCATCTACCCCCCCATCTTCCCCACCCATGTCCTTACCCCCAGAGAAGGGCCCAGCCTGCCCTCGAGATCCCAAGGGCCTGATGGCACCTTGTCCCTGGGGAAAAGCCTGCAAGTCAGGCAGGCCTGACCCTTTCTTCCTCAAAGGGAAGGGAAATGCTCCACACTTGGATAGCCTCTGTCCATCTGGCTCCACCCCCATCTACCCCCCCATCTTCCCCACCCATTTATCTTTCTGGGATCCTATGACCCCAGCTGACTTCCTGCCCTTTGGGCGGGGGGCTGGACTTGATGATCTTCCGAGGTCCCTTCCAGCCCTAATGTCTATGAAATCTATGAAATCTTCCACTTGTGACCATAGCTCCAGTCTTCTCCATGATGGCACCAGGCTCTCCCTTAATACTGCCGTTCTGCGGACAAGCCTCCACAATGTTATTCTCAAAGAGCTTCAGTTTGCAACCGGACAGCACTGAAATGCTCCAATCAGACGCGAACTACCTTCTTGAGCCCATCCCCCAAGCTATAGGTGAGTACCGGTGTCCCTCACTCAACTGTGGCACTCAGCCCCCCGCATCTCCGTGTCCTTATCTCAGGTGTCTCATGCTTCATGATAGGCTGCTGTAGGATTGATAGCGCAAACCAAAGGGCAGTGAACATGGTCCCTGAGAGCCTTTTCCGGAGTCGCCGCAGCTGCGGCACCCCACAAAAAAAGACAATGAAAATGGCAAGGTGCGAGATGCAGACTAAGGGGGTCCTAGTACCACTTCCCAGCACCACCTCCATATCGAAGCACCTAGCTTGCACGGTTAAGTGCATCCTCTGTGCGAGGATGGATTCTAGGTGCCAACATGCATGTGGGCTTGAGGGAGATGAGGGAGCGTGGAAGGCCTTGTGCCAACAAGAGAAGGGGCCTAAGGGAAGAAGTCTGGGGAAGCCTCCCCCCACATCGAAAGTCAAAGCTGTGCTGAAAACCACATCCTGAAGCAACTTAACTCTGCTCCCCCAGATGAAAAAACATGCCTCCTGCCCATGACTTGATGTGCCTACACGTGTCTTCAAAGGGTTGTCTGTGCCCTGCGGTGTCATTGGGGATGGGTCTGTGTCGGTCTACTGTCTGAGAGGTCCTAATTTCAATGGCTTCTCACAGGCTAAAGGGAGCTGAGTGCCCAATGCAGAAGTCAGGTCCCTTGGCACTGCTCTGTCTGGTCTGGGGTAACCTTCCCCTTTTGTCCCTGTACCTCCCCAGAAGCATCTCCCCTGATAAAGCTGGTCTCCCTTCAGAACGCCAATGGCTCGTGGGGCCTTGACTCCGCCCTGGCTTCTGCGCTTGGAGTGAGTGAAACAGATGTCAAGGGCAAAATGCCCAGTGAGGTGAGCAGGCTGGGATGAGTTGGGGCAAGAAGAAATGGGCATCGTGAACTGGGCCTGTTGTCAGGACCCCTGGGTCAGCCAGATGCTACCCCCAGCCCCACCTGGGCCCTCTCACCAGGTTCCCAATGGGGTCACCTGGGGGGATCCATAGAGGCCACAAGCCCTAATTGGGAGAGCTGTAGAGACCCTCGCTACTTTCCCTGGAGCCTTGTCCCAGCAACAGTGTTTTCAGGCCTTGCCCCCATCTTGGACCTCCTAGTCTGACCCATGCCTTGCTTTGACCATGAACCTGTCTAAGCCCTGGTGTGGTACCTTGGGCTCTGACTGGTACCCAGTACTGTAACCCTTGGCGCCAGCTCTTGGACTCCCAGTATTGTGACCCTTGACACTGATCTCCTAGACTTTGAACCCCGAACCCCACCCACATCCCACATTTTCTGGAACAGGCTCCCAAGGGAGGTGGTGCTCTGCCCTAACCTG